CTGAGCATGGAATCAAAGCTGCACAGACAGGCACTGGCGCTGCAGGTGTCCAGACAAGAGCTGGAGGCAGAGCTGACCTTGAGAGCCTTAAAAGACAGGAATGTCGAAACAGCACTGAAAAAATGCAGGTGCCGTTCCAGATCCCTGAATTGCATAGCTCATCTGAAAGTATAACATTGACTTGCTAGCTTCAATAGTAAGGGTGGGGCCAGTGGCATTTTCACATAAGGAATTCTTGATTTCTTGTCCTGAGAGCCTATTTGGGGCCTCTGTGCCAGAAAGTAGTAGCATCAAAGGCAAGTAACCAATACTGCAGATTAGGTTACGTGACCATTATATTTAGGTTACTGTGCACTTTGACATGTAATGGTCTCCAAAATAAGTTGAAAAACTAAGTGCACTATATACCATGAAAACATTTTAGAGACATTTTATGTGTTGACGATGATGATTATATATTAATCCAAAAAGGCACATGCATTTACTTTCAATATGAGTATTCTAACTGCCAGCGCTTCCTTTCCTGCAGAGATTTGTTTAAGTATCACTGCAACGCTGACACTGGGAAATTACTGTTTCTGACGTGTCAGAAGCTTTGTCAGATGTTGGCTGATGATATCCCAATGACAGCACCTGTGGGTGTGAACCTTCCTTCTGAGATACATGATCTAGCCTGCCGAGCTGCCACCATCTGCAGTCCAGGTGACAAGATTTATAATATACATAGTTTTGTATTCTCAGGTTCATTTCATTCTTGTCTCCCAAATGCTATCTCTTTACACTCAAACAGTACAGTAACTAGAAAAGAGATAGTATCACCATTTTACAATGGGACAATTATAATCCATTCTCTTTGGGGATTATTGTTGTAAAATGTTTCAGATATTTCAAGATATTAACAACTGACCGTTGATATTATTCACTTTAGTAAGATTGTGAAATTCTTTGCTTCCCCATATTTGATCTGATCTTTTAAGCCAAGTTTAAGAAAAATGTTGAAGCCTGTAATCCTAGCACTCTGGGAGGCCGAGGTGGGCGGATCGCTTGAGATCAGGAGTTCGAAACCAGGCCTGAGCAAGAGCGAGATCCCGTCTCTACTATAAATGGAAAGAAATTAATTGGCCAACTAACATGTATAGAAAAAATTAGCTGGGCATGGTGGTGCATGCCTGTATCCCAGCTACTTGGCGAGGCTGAGGCAGGCAGGGATCGCTTGAGGCTCAGGAGAGTTTGGAGGGTTGCTGGGTGAGCTAGGCTGGTGCCACGGCACTCACTCTAGCCTGGGCAACAAAGCGAGACTCTGTCTCAAAAAGAAAAGAAAAGAAAAGAAAAAAAACGTTGAACTGTATTATTTACAATAGTCAAAGCTATATCGAAACCTTTCTACCTACTTTGTGGCCTTCTTTATAATTTTGGAGGATATTATAAAAAGATTGTTTTCATTGGAGACATGAAATTTGAGTTTAATGCTTTGTCTCCATTTTCTTTTAGATTTTTTACTAGATGCTTTAGAACTATGTAAATATACTTTAACAGCAGTAGAGCTTTCAAGACAATGCCAAATGGATGATTGTGGAATTCTAATGAAAGTAAGTTACTTTTGATTTTTTTTCCTTAAACAAATTCTCTGGCAACTATTATGTGCCATTTTTAAATCATTTGCACAGTTTACAAAAATATTGAATCTACCTTTTATGTTTTCTTATTCTAGAGTAGAAAATTTCTTCTTCTTTTTCTTTTTTTTTCAATAAAGTATTTCTAATTAAGGTATGTACATTGTTTTTTAGATATAATACTATTGCAAGCGTTCAAGTTCAGAATACCCAAAGAGTAGTGTACAACATATTTTTTTTCTTTTTTTGAGGCAGGTTCGTTCTCGACTGTTGCTTGGCGCGCTTACGAGTGCAGTGGGTGGTCATGCATAGCTCAGCTGCAAGCCTCAAACTCCTGACGCTCAGTGATGCCTGCGGCTAATTAATTGAAAAAGAAATTTGGAGGGCCAGTGGCGCGGGCTCACGCCTGTAAATCCTAGACTCCGTGGGGCTCATGGTGAGAGGGATCGGCTGGACGGTCAGGAGTTCGAAACCAGGCGCTGGAGCAAGAGTGAGGACCCGTCTGCTACTAGTAGAAGATAGAAAGAAAGAATTGGCCAAACTAATATATATAGATGAAGACGAATTTGAGCGCGCATGTCGCGTATGGCGCTGTAGTCCAGGCTGACTCGCGAGGCTGAGGCTCAGCGGGGAGTTGGGCTTGGAGCCCAGGATGTTTGAGGTTGCGCTGTGAGCTAGGCTGGCTTCACGGCAACGTCACTCCTGAGCCTGCGGCACAAAGTGAGAGACTCTGGCCCCAAAAGAAAAAAATTTTTTTGTTTCGTAGAGGATGGAGTTCTCCTGTGGTTGCGTCAAGCTTGTCGTCAAACTGCTCAGCTCAGGCAATCTCCCAGCCCTGCCACCGCAAAGGTGCTAGATTGGGTGTGGCTGTCGCAACCCAGCGCCAAGCATAATTCGGTTATTATATGCGACTGGGGAACCAAAAAAGACTCGCGTTGGTGAGGTCGTACTTTATTGCAGTGTTTGGGTTTGAGTTGTTGGGGTGGTTGGAGTACAAAAACCACAAAAATCACTGAGATATGCTTGTGGTATGAACTCCTATTTACATACGCAAGCTACAAGGAAAGAAAATGAGTGTTACAGTTGTACTCGTAGCGCAAAAGAGGTAGAATGTAATTCAGAAGCAATTAGGTTGCCTTAGCTCATGCTTTCGTAACCAATTAGGTACACGGCATGCAGGATAACTGTTTCCTCGCAGAACTAAATGTGTGTGTGTGTGTGGCGCAGAATTTAGTGTTAGAAGTGTGTGAGTCGCGTTGGTTGTGGGAAGGATGGCGAATTGTAAGTAGTAGCATAATCGCAGGCCCCTAAGTGTTTTATACTTTCGCTGACTTTGACAGCGAGCGTGGTACGCGAGTCGAAGTCTGGCCGCGAGGAGCGTACTATTGGCTGAAGAGGGCATGAGAGGTTGCTATGGGTACAGAGGCGGTGGTAAGAGCTGAGTGTTCCGCTCTTGATGTGTGTGTGCGTGTGTCTTCAAGACTTTGGAAGTTCCCATGTTAACTGTATCTTCTCTAGTACATGAGTTGTCATTCTCAGAAACTATCCTTTCAGTCAATAGTGTATTTAAGACCAAATGAATAAAAAACTAGTAATAATTTAAATGAATGTCATGACAAATTATAGAAAGTCTTGTCAATACTTCCAATAAAAATTGGGAAGGTGCTAAAGGCAGCTTTCTGTTGGAGTGCTTCTTCACCTATGGATTTTTGCTTTATTCAATTTGTTAAACAAGAGCTAATGAAATTATTGACCCCCCCAAATAAGTCATAAAAACATGTTACTTACTTGAAAGAACAATACCATTAGTTAGTTACAAAATGTAATTGAAAGGATCAAGCAGTGGTTAGTGGCCAAACCAATCCACATTGATATCTTTGAAGTGTTCAGATGCTAATTTTTAAATAAAGGTTAATAAATACCAATCAGAATCTCATAACATCTACATAAAGTTGATTCTGGACATAGTTCACTGCACAAGGGTAAGAGAATGACAGTGTAATCACCAATAATTAAACCAAAGGCACAATTTTCCAAATTCCTTTTGGTAACATAGGATAAATCCTAATTTTTTAAAATCTAAAGCCACATAAAACTCAAAGCAATCTATTTTTCAAAATAAGTTTCCTTTTTCCTATCTAAACATGATTCTTGGCATTGAGGTAAATCTGAATTTATGTGATATACTTTGTCAAACTTTTCCAAAAATTTTAAGCCTTGCTTTAAAGAGAAATTCTCACGTTATAAATATATATTTACATATTTTTTCTTCAAAGACTATTGACATATGTATGAGGTTAATAGGCCTGTAATGGGACCATGAGACTACTAATAACATGAAAATAAAAAACTATTCATTTATCCAAAGTGTTCCTGAAGAGAGCAATAAGAAATGGGATCATACAATCTATGTATATATATGAATCACTAAGAGTTCAGAAATTAAGCTCACTTTAAGAAAATTCATTCTATTCTATCTGGAGGAGAGGTTGCAAAATTGTGATGCATAACAAAAATATTGTGTATAAAAGCTCCGAATCAAGCATTAACCTAAATTGGCAATAACTGTAATTTAAATTAAAAATTATGGCCGGTCCCGGTGGCTCACGCCTGTAATTGTAGCACTCTGTAAGGCCTAGGCGGGAGGATTGCTTGAGGTCAGGAGTTTGAAACCAGCCTGAGCAAGAGCGAGACCCCGTCTCTACTATAAATAGAAAGAAATTCTTTGGCCAACTAATATATATAGAAAAAATTAACCGGGCATGGTGGCGCGTGCCTGTAGTCCCAGCTACTTGGGAGGCTGAGGCAGAAGGATCGCTTGAGCCCAGGAGTTTGGAGTTGCTGTGAGCTAGGCTGATGCCACGGCACTCACTCTAGCCTGGGCAACAAAGCGAGAGTCAGTCTCAAAAAAAGAAAAAAATTATACCCAACTAGATCTTTACTGTGGCTATGCAACTTCTTGTTTTGTGGCCTGCAAGTTTTTACTGAGATAACAGACTCTTATCTCTTGCTTCTCTCTCATCCTTCTGCCACCACAAAAACAAAGGAATAAAGCAGTCAGCTCTTCAGCTTCCTTTCTCAGGGTGGTCTTTGGCAATGCTTCCAAATTTTGAATTTTGAATGCAAAAGAAACTGCTGAAGTAAAGAAGAAGATGAAAACACTGTATGTGATGTTTGAAAACCAATGTAAGACTATGAACTGAGAAAGAAAATACCAGAAGGAAGGCTAAGTAGCAGTCTACCCTCAACAGCAACAGAAAATACAAAATGGGGGTTGGGGAGCAGCTGTTTACTCCTCTAGCCCTTCTTCCACATTATTTCCTGATTAGAAGAGCATGGAGCCAAAATTTCAAACTCTAAAAAAGATGACTTCGGAGGAGAAGCTAGGGAAGTGAATAAATGATAAAGAAGTACAGCAGCAGCTTTAGCTGTCAATGAGTTTCTTTGCTCTGGCATTGGCAATGTCAATACGATCTTCGTTGGTGTCAGCTTTTTCTGTGATCAGTTCTATTTGTTTCTTTTGAGCTTCAATCTCAGTACCCATGTCCAGAGCCATATTTTTTAGATTTCCCATGATACTGTCTACTTGAGTCAGGTTCTCTTCCATCTCATCTTCTCTGGCATCATTAGTTATATGTTTAATCTATCCTCCGCTGGCTGCTCCTGTTGTTGGTTACTGAGGCTGACCATTTGCCACCTGGCCTGGCTGCTTAGATGTTACGTTGCTAAGTGAGTTGTCTCCGCCATCTCCCCATGTTTTCTTATAGGCCTTACCAGACTCAAAGTTCTTTGTTCTATTACATGGGCAAACACAAAGGCCACAGCACTTGCTGAGTTCTGTTAAAGTCTTCTCTGCTTCTCTCATGTCTTTATTTATTTGGTCCATGCCTTCTTCTATGCGATTTTGTTGTTCCCCTTGTTCATTCAGCATAGTGAGGGTCTTGATTCCTGCATCCTGAGACTGAATGGCTAAACCCAGGATTCTCCTTGTACTTTCCAGAGACTCATCAGTAACCTGGTGAGCCTTCATCTGAATTTCTTCTGATGACAGATTATCCATGATGAATCAAAACTCTATCAGGCACAGAAATGGAAATGTGGATATTCAAGTGGTTCTGGTCACTCTTCTTTGACTGCAGCAGCTCCAACACCCCCAGACCCGACCTCTTCTTCTTCTTCTTTTTTTTTTTTATTTTTTTCATAGAGATGGAGTCTTGCTATGTTGGCCAGGCTAGTCTTGAACTCCTTGCCAAGCCTGGCTTGAGCCTGTAATCCCAGCATGAGGCCACTTCTCATTTCCAATCACATTTATTGGCTTTTATTCGCACTATCTTTTAAAACATTGGGCTTCAAACAAGGCCTCTCTGAACATGGTCCTTTTGTTAGAATTTAATATAAAATGATATTTTTATAAGCCACAGACCAGTAGAAACACAGTACATAGTTGTATTTGACATTCAAAACCATTTGGTACTAACATATCTGACTGTGGACTCTGCTTGGTGAAGATGCCATCTGTGTTCTGCGGTGTCTTTAATTCTGTCCTTTCCGTGTGATTTGATATGTAGACTGCTTTTGGAACTCATAAAGATCCATATGAAGAGTGGTCCTACAGTGACTTCTTCAGCGAAGATGGAATTGTTCTTGAGTCACAGCTGGTGCTACCGGTTATTTATGAATTGATTTCATCACTTGTGCCTCTAGCTGGTAAATCTTACTTGTATCATTACTTTGTATGTCTTTCTGCTTTATGAGAATTTCAACCGAAGAGGTTTGGAACTGCTACACACGATAATATTTGTATTATAGGCAGTGTTGAGTAAAAGGAGCCAGATAACAAAAGACTATATACTGTATGATTTCATTTACATCAAGCACAGAAACAGCCGAGGACTAAGCTGATGCTGTTGGAAGTCAGGGTAGTGGTTGTCCTTGGGGGAATCAATGACTGCAAAGGACAAAGGGGGCTTCTGGGGTGCTGGTAATGTGTTTCTTGATCTGGGTGCTGCTCATTCATTTATCAAGTTGTACACTTACCTGTGCATTTTTCTGTATGTATATTTTAATTTTTTTAAATAGCAGTTTGCTTTAGATTATTTGATCATAACACAATATTTAAATATCTCTGAGTCGTGTGCTTTATGAGAGAGTTATTTTATTTAGTGTTATTTAATTTATTATTCTCTTGTAGAGAGCAAGAGACATCCCTTGGAGTCTGCAAGTTTGCCATACTGCTCTATTATTGAAGGTATTCAACATCAGAAATGTATATAGCATTGGAATAAGATTTTGTAGATACAGTTATAGAAATTCCTTAAAATATGAATCTGAGTTAATGTCCTTAACGTAATTATTTAGTTATTACTCTTTCATTGCTAGTCATCTAAAAGGTCAGAGATTGTGCAATTTAGCTTATAGTCTTAACCTTTATGAATTTGTTCTTAAATTTTAGTCTTCCAAATGGAGAAATGGTTTTCATCAGCTAACAATTTAAACATCTCAATTAAAATAAGCACATTATAATCAGAATATCTCATTATCTAGTGGACTTAGTGATTTTCTGGTTTAAATCAAGCCTCATGTTAACTCTCTCATGAACTAATTTTGAGAGTGAATTCCATGACTATTACCTGCTTTGGAGAAGTACGCTATCCCTAAAAATTTTTCTATAATATGCTCTTTCTTTGCCTATAAAATCTAAATATTAAAATCCTTATACTCAGATGAAAATCCTTTTATCACTTCGCAGGTGATGGCCTTATTTTACCTGCTGTAAATTCCATTTCTGCCCTGCTTCAGAATCTTCAGGAATCTAGCCAGTGGGAGCTGGCCCTAAGATTTGTAGTTGGTTCATTTGGTACCTGTCTTCAGCACTCTGTGTCAAATTTCATGAATGCCAGTTTAAGTGAAAAGGTATAGTTTTGAGAACAAATACTTGGACTTTGGGTGACTATAGATACAAAAGCACTGCCAAACATAGGAATTGGGACTCAACATTATCCTATTGGGCTGTGTAGCAAGGAAATTGACAAATCTGTCAGATTTAAGAAACATTTGTTGAACTTCTGCTAAGATTCCAGTGTAGTTCAAGGTGTTTGCATGCAATTGGAAACTCACTCTTCACAGCAACCCCGACAGTTCCATTCTGCAAATGTGGGAACTCAGATTCAGGGAGATAAAGTAAGTTCACCAAGGTTTTAGGTTGTAGTAAGTTTTTGCATGCCAAACTCAGTGCTGTTTTGTCTACACCACATTCATTCAGTCAAAAATATCTCTCTGCTGTTTGTTTTGTTATTGTCCAAATTATTATAATTATTTCCTGACAGTGTCATTGATGAGATTTTAGAAGACAAACCACCGGTCTGTCTGTACCTTGCTTATGAAGCTAGTCTCAGAGGGAATTGTCTTCATTTCTACTACTCTGCTGATATTTATTAAATGCTGATTCTTTCTTTTTTAAATCAATTTTATTGAGTCATCGCTTTCAAAATTAAAATGCACCATGTTTTAAGTATATCAACCAATGTATTCACCTTGTCACCAACACCGCAATCTAGATGCAGAATATTTTTTAAAGTTCATTGTTGCCCCTTCTCAGGCAGTCCCCCACCCCCAGCTCTAGCTTGGTTATAGATTAATGCTAATACTTTTTTCATATAATGATGAATTTTCAAAGATGTGTAATAGTTGAGAAGAGTTTTCAGAAGGATACACAGAAGTAGACCTAAAGATTCTTTTGTTCTTTTCTAAAAGTTATTTGGACAGACCACCTTGGTGAAATCAAGGAACCTTGTTATGGAGTTGAAAGAAAAAGCTGTAACATTTATCAGGGAAAATGCCTCAACCCTGCTGCACAAAGTAAGTATTTGTTCTTGGTTTCTTAGTAGCCATTTTTTTTTTTTTTTTTTTTCCTTTTACCTCAGTCAACAGTGCATATGATGATTCCTGGTTCCATATAGTAGTGTTTGACTCTTCAAAAGCCTCAATAACCTATATCACAGCTGATCGTTGTGGTGGTTTTTTTTTACTATGGTAATTGACATTCTGTGGAGCATTTATGAAATAGGTAGTCAACATTTCCCACATTTGTCTTCTGATTTTAGTTACTTGTTTTATGGATTAAAGCATTATAAGGATCTTAGCTGTAAGTTATTTCTATCAGAAATAACTATCAGAAATAAATTCAGAAATCCTAATTTTCCATTAGTCTTTATTTTTTAAAAGGTTCTAATAGACTTTTTTATTTCTTTTTTTTTTTTTTTTTTTTTCCCCACTATCCACAGGCAGAAAGAATTGGATGTCTGCCTGGTGTAGGAAATGCACTAAGCCACTTTATTATCAGTAACTCAGATTCCATTGCTCTGTTACAAATCAGATGGAGGTTACAGCACCCTTAGTATTTTAGAAGCAGTCACTAAATAATTGACCTTGAGTAGGTCATGTAAGATGGGCTTGTTTTCTCATGTATCAACTGGAACTAATATGCAATCAAACTATAAAAATTAAATAGATCATGTGCATGAAAACACTTTGAACCAGCAAATGAGTCCTCGTATTTAACAGATAGAAGCATCTGAGATGTAAATTATAAATCACTTATTCCTAATCATCAAAGTCAGCTAAATCTATAAATAACACATTTTGTATTATTTAGGTTTTTTAATTTGCTTACAAAGTTTTTAATAGGAAATTAGGAATTCTAAGTCATACTTTTCATTATTTGTTAATTTAAGATTATTTTGCTAAGTTTGCTGATTTAGAAGTTTAATTACTCAAAGGATAGTTCCAAAGTTTTCGGATCACAGGAATCATCCAGAGCTCCTGTTAAAGATCAGAGAAGTCCAGGCCTCAGTCCAGACCTGCTCAGTCAGCTCTGCCTGCCAAGGAGAGCCCAGAAATCTGCGTTTTCAATCAAGTGCCCCAGGTGATACTTTCTATGAGGCAAGTTTGACAAACACTAAAAGTGAATTAAAAAGGTGATACCATAAGAGAATTTAATCTACCTTTGGATTTGCTCGGTTTGGGGGTGAGCAAAGAAAATACCAGAGGTCTGTGGGCCATGTAATAATCACCTTTGTTACTGTGTTTTCACAGTAATGATTACCAGTTTGTTAAGCTAACAGAAAAATACACTGAAGTTTAAGGAATTACTGCAATATTCCAGAATGAGGCTTGTGTCCATATCTGTATTTTCCACAAGAGCTTTAATGAGGTCTTTCTTGGCAAGAAAATGTTGCCTGAAAACTGGTTGAAAGGAAATCTAGAAATAAAAGAACAAAATAAAACTCTATAAACAAGGGCAACATTATGACTTACCCTTTTACTATCTTTTTTTTTTTTTTTGAGAGAGAGTCTTGCTCTGTTTGCCCTGGCTGGAGTACAGCGGCGTCATCACAGCTCACTGCAACTCAAATTCCTGGGCAAGCAATCCTGCCTCAGCCTCTCGAGTAGCTACACCTGTAGATATGTGCTACACGTTGGCTAATTTGAATTTTTTGTAGAGATACAATCTCACTATGTTGCCCAGAGTGGCCTCAAGCCATCCTTCCGCTTTGGCCTCCCAAAGTGCTAGGGTTATAGGTGTGAGCCACTGTGCCTGCCTACCCTGTGGTTAAAAGGAAAATTCTTCTATAGTTCCTCAACTTTTATTTTATACCCAACCCAACCCAACATCGTTCTGAGATTTGAGATGTACGTAGGTCCAAAATCTCTCTAGCGCTCTGTTGCCTCTTCATCCATGAAGTTTGGTGGTTGAGGTCAGCGGAACACCAGTCCCAATACTAATAGAAATTAGGTTTCAAACATATACTATTTCTGCAGTGGTTACCTTCCTGATAAGCCAACTATTTGAAATAAAATAAGATGTTTTACATCTTTTGTAACATTTTTGTCTATTCTTTTGCTAAGTAATTTTACTTTTCTTTTTTCACTAAAGAGCCTAGATCTGATGCAAAGTCAAAAATAAGGACATTTCCTTTTCCCTACTATTAATAGAAGTTCTTGAAGAATAGTATACTTGTATATATATTTAATATTATCTTTACCAAATAACAGCAGCAGAAATAAAAAGTATGAGGCTAAGGGCTAGGCCTGAAATAGCATAAGTGTCAACTGATACTAGACATATACTCATAAATGAGAGAGCTAA